AGAGACAGAAGGATTTGAGGCAGCCTATATCCACAGGAGATCTGTGGTTAGTTCTCCAAGACATTTGGAACAACCTACCTGCTGAGTTCCTTCAAAAACTCTGTGCAAGTATATCTAGAATAATTGATACTGTTTTGAGGGCAAAGGGTGGTCACACCAAATATTGATTTGATTTGGATTTCTCTCTTGTTTGCTCATTTTGCATTTTGTAAATTGATAAACATAAACAATTACAAGATATATTTTTGAAAGCATTCTTTCTTAATAGCATTTTTCACACCTGCCTAAAACTTTTGCACAGTACTGTATACCTTAATACAAGAAAATGAAGATCTATTTTTTTATAAATTTTAAAAATTTAAAATAAACAGCAAAAAGCAAGACGTGTTTTTGGCTACAGAAAGTTTTTAAAAGATTAAGAAAATGTTTCAACTTTGAATATTAAGACTTTGAAAATATTTTTAAAGAATAAATGCATATTTGTGGGAAATAAATTATCATGGCGTTTAGAGATATTTTTGAGGAACTCCACTGAGGACTGCGTTGAGACTTTGAATCAATTATGGCAGCTATGTTGTATCTTTTGGGGAACAGTGTGTCTTCAGAACAAGATGTTATAGAAGAAAATATACAACGAATTCTGTTTGAGAATAACATGAATGAAACTTTGGAATAGAACTAGCCATCAGGTGGAAAGAGCAAACTGTATGAGGTTTTAAAAATTAAGAAGGAAATAAAGACAATCCCAGAGAGTAATGGGAATAATTCTTTTTTGTTGGATTTACAAAAGAGACCACTTAAAGAATGGAAGAAATCCGTAATAAGGATCAACAACTATTGGAATGGATTACAGAGAAAGATTGTTCTGTATAAAGAAAAAAGGAATATAAAATCTGCTTATTTGACCAAGGTTAAAATATTGATCTTGTTGTTGTGATGTTGCTATTCTGGGTGATTCTTTTTGGATTTACTGTTATTTTGACTGGAAAAATGTGGTATACTGGATTTACTTATTTGGTGTTTAAATTCTTTACTTTATAGCTATTTTCTGTATCCTAACTGTTTAGTTTCCAAATGCTTAGTATCTAATTGTGTGAAAATTTTATTTTTAGGAGAAATTAACTCTTTTTGTTAGGTTAAATTTTAGTCTTTTTTTTTTGCATTAGGATGCTGGGATTACTTTATATTTGTGAATAGTGTAGAGTTGAGATATGGAATATTTATTTGGTTGTTATTTGGGATGGTTATCTGGAATGGTTGGCATTTGGAATGGTTTATGTTTTGGAGTTTGTTGTTTTTTAAAGGAGAAATGGTCTTATGCTAAACTTTAGGTTTGGTTTGCTTATACTTTTTTATGCCTTTTAAATGGGGTTTTGCTTATAGTTAAGAGTTGAGGTATGGTAAATTGTTTTCTATTTGTTAATTTTAATATTTTAGAGCTCTGTTTGGACTTTTTGTTGACAATTGGATAAGGAGAAGATGTTACTTATTTGATTTGTTTATTACTAATTTATGGTTATGGGATGAAGAGTTTTATATTTCTTAATTAAGAGGGGTGAAATTATGAAATTGTTTATTACTTGTGATGAGGGTGGGAAGTCGTTTTCTTAAAAGAGAAGATTTTTTTGTATTCTTTTCTTCTTTTCTTTTTTCTTTTACTTTGTATTATCTTTTATTCTTTTAAAAATCTTAATAAAATTATTGAAAAAAAGACTAAGGTATTAAGGATACAGAAAGATAAAACAGAAAAAAAAAGGGGGGGGGAGAAGCCTGCCTTTTACTTTTTCCCTTGTAACTGAGACACTTTCACTTTTGGATTACAATATTGGAATGGCAACCACCAGAAAAGCTGCAAAAGCAGAAGGGAGGAGAAAATTCTTAGAGCAGCCTGCAGAAAGAGGAGTTACACCAGAGTTGTTGCAGAAAAGGTTTAAGGAATTGGGCAAGAAGTTGTCTGAATCAGTTAATGCTAGTTTGGCAACTTTTGAAGAGAGAATGGAAGAAAGATCTGTAAAGAGAAAAGAGGAATGAAAGAAGTTAAGAAAATGGAAGAATCTGTAGAACAAGTAACTGTGGAGATGTAAAACGAATGAAAAAGTGGAAATTTTGGAAAGTAAAATTAAAGTTATAAATAAGAGATATGGAAAAAGATTTAGATAATCTGGCATTATTAGAATTGAGAAAGAATTCTGCTTGAGATTCAAGAGCAATTCCAGAGGATTTTGGTGAAGATACTAGAGAAAAGGTTATTAAAGCCTTATCGAATTTTTAGAATGGGATGGATACAGAGGCAGAAATTGACAAAGTTTATAGAATAAATTTTTAATTTATAATTGTACTTATAACTGCTGTAAAGAAGATCAGAAGCCACTTCTTTATATCTTTTTTCTTTTTTACTTTTCTGCTGTTTTTCTTTTTGCATTTTTTTCTTTTCCTTTTTCTTTTTTGTTCTATTTTCCTTTGTTATTAGTCTTAATGTTATTTAAAGTTTTCAATAAAATTATATAAAGAATTAAACAACTAAGCAATTTCTTTTAGTTTCAAATTGCTTTCAGGCTGTGATGGCCTTTCTGGTAATTATTTAAAGACAGACTTTACCGCTATAGCTACTGATAGATAACTTTATAGTGATTCATTCCACCTGTCCTGTGACAATAACTGATCTCATGACAGTCTTTCTTTTATTCCTGAAAAATTGTTTAGACTCAGTATGTTGTCAGCTGACATTAAGGGCTTCATCCATAATTATCCTGGGTTGATGTGACTGCTGAATAAACTATGATTGAAAGGCAATTAGTACTATACTACAGTATGATGAAAAAAATACTATTCTAATCATTTGATAGAATCATACTTTAGTATGAGAAAAGGCTACCTATAAACCAAAACTCAAACAGTTGAATTTAAAGCTAGATGTACCAATTAATTTTTAAGGACGTTTTATTTGTTTATTTGATTTGTAAGACCACCTAATCACAAAGTTACTCAAAGTGACATAGAAAAAGGGTTAAAAATGCATGATAACAAAAGGAGAACCAAACTGATAAAATGGTATATGATGGCATCTTAATTCTAAAGACTCTTGCATGAAATGGATTATGTATACTCATTTCAGTGTGGTTAAAATATTATTTGACAGCTGAAACATCTTTGTTGGCCCTGGTGGATATCTTGTTTGCCTTGGAGTATGTCCCTCTTTGTTCTTCTGGATATTTAAGTAGAATTTGATACATTTATCCTGGTCATTCTTCTGCATCACTAGGTGAAAATGTGCTTGGAAAATACCCTGTAAAGTGATTTTAGTTATTATTTTTCTGATCAGTGTTGCAGGAGATTATGTTGTGGGATTTCTGTATATAATATTTCTGCAGGGACTAATTCTGTTGCGTCTTATTTGGAAATTGGGAAAATATTAAAGAATATGATGTCACTAATACACAGATAATATTTCTACTTTATCTAATGTAATGGGTGCCATTGCAATAGAAATTAGTACTAGATTCAGTAATTATGAATAGAGCTAAGAAAATGAAACTTAATCTAAGCGACTGTGGTTCTAGTTAGGAAAAAGGTGATCAGCTCAGGAATAGGTGTTAACCCTCTTTTCAGTACAGTTGCACTCTCCCTGAAGAATCTGGTTCATAGTTTGGGGATGCTTTCAGATTTTCAGATCTGTATGACTAATAACAGTGTTCAGAAGTGCCTAGCTTTGGCAGATGTGTTTTAAATGTACCCATTCCTAAACACATAGCTTAGTCACATCAAGACTGAATTACTTTAAAAAGCTTTATATAGCACTGCCTTTAAAGAGTCTTTGGAAGTTGACTTGGCCTAAAATACAAAGACAAGAACATTAATGTGTATGTCCATATATACTGTACATGGATGCATGCTGAGTACCAACCAATATCTTTAAGGCCATAAATGGTTTGAAGACAGAATCCTTGAGGGACTTCTCCTTCCATATTGAATTGACTTATCTCTAAGACCAGAATTCACACTTAGTTTTGACCTGCAGTTGAGGGTGACAAGATAGAGGTACTTTTCTGAGCTGTTATCAGTATTGTAGAGTACCTTGCTGTATGAAATATTAGTGGTCCCTTTCTTGATGACTTTTCCCCCTATGGGTGAATATACTTTTGTTCAGGGAAGTTTTTCTCTATCATTGTTCTTGTTGTAAAAATAGGCTTAGTGATGTTTTTCTGTCTCTATATTTTTATTGTATTGTGATTGAATATATGGTAATTTACAATAGTTATATCTTAAGTGTTGCTTGAGTAATGTGTGATATACATATCTCTGCAAAAATGAATAATTAATGTATTTTTCTTCAAACTAGGACCAACTGTACACCTATTATACTGTTATGTTGCAAGATGTAATTGGAAAGACTTTCCGACTTCTGGGGTATACTATTCAGTATGGGTGCATAGCCCACTGTGTTTTTGAATATCTTGGAGGAATTGTGGTGGTAAGTTAAAAGAAGCTAATTATGATTATGAAAACAGGCATATATTAATTTTCAATTTGTTACTTTTCAGTCTATTACATTATCAATAATCTGAGCAGATGACAGCACCTTTCTGATATGGCTTGGGGTCAGAAACTAAGCAGGTTTGGGCTGGTTAATAGTGAGATGAGAAACTATCATGGAATATGAAGATTACAGCTAGGCTAGGAAGTTGAAAAAAATATCCCAAAATAAGGCAGTAGCAAATCACTTTCACACAATTGCCAAGTATATTGCATGGTTGTGTCCATGTAGTCACCAGAAGTCAAGCTATTTTTTTTTAGTAAGAGTCAGTGTTCAACTAAATTAATACTTTTTTTGGTATGAAGCATTAAGTTCATACTTTATAACTTTATAAAGTATGAACTTTATCAGTATCAATTATTGGAAATCATTAATGCTTTCCAACAAAATATATAAATCAGGAACCTATTACTTTAAATTGTTTCCATGTTTTCTACTTATGCGCTGTCCATTGCCTAAAATATGTATACAAATGGGGAAGTCAAGTTGCTAGTAATCATGGCCCCTGTTCAGCATGCACAATGTAGTGGTACAGATATTTATTTATTATATTTTTATTCAAATTTGTCACTGCCCATCCCATGAAACGACTCTGGGTGGTTTACAACAAGATAAAAATTCATTAAAATACAACATAAAAACAATCCTAAAAATAAATACATTCCAAGACGATAGAAAATTGGCAAATAATTCCAGGGAGCATCATCAGGGGGCTAACCACCCCTAGGGATAGGTAAAGACCCTATCACCCCATGCATACTGGCAGAGCCAGGTCTTTAAATCTTTCTGGAAAGCCAGGAGGGTAGGGGCCTATCGCACCTTTGGGGGAAAATATTCCAAAGGGCAGGAGCAACAGCAGAGAATGCTCTCTTCCTGGGCCCTGTGAGCCGACATTCCATTGCTGACGAGATCCATAGCATGCCCTCTCTGCCTGACCAGGTGGGACAGGTTGATGTAATGGGGATGAGACAGTCCTTCAAGTAACCATTCTTGTCATGAGATCATAAGCAATGGAATCCCTTTCAATACCTAAATCTCTAAAAATCTCTTTTCTGGTGATATAAATGTTTGAGGGAAAAAGCAACATACTGTGTGGGGGAAGAACAGTTACATTTTTCACATAGGATACTCTTGCCATGGGTCCGGTGGTACGAGAGCTTTCTTTCAATACTCCATCCTCTAGTCCTTAATTCTCCTTTTAAGACCATTTGGGGTGGGGGGATGCCTTTGAGTTAATGTTGACTCCTGGTGACTGCCTGGACTAGTCCCAGCAGTTTTCTTGGCAAGATTTTCGAAAGTAGTTTGCTGTTGTTTTATTGCTAGGGCTGAAAGAGAATGACTGGCCCAAGGTTACCCAGATGAGTTTGTGCCTAAGGCTGGACTAGTGGACTCATGGTTTCCTGGTTTCCTAGCTTGATGCTTTAACCACTACATGAAAGTGGCTGTCTTTAAGACCATTAGAACAACATAATTCCACTGGATGGAATGGGGAGATTTAAAGAAGCTGAAGTGGTAGAATTCTCTGGTTAGAGAGTCCAGCCACTACATTTACCCTTAACCATACTCTAAGGGCACATAAATGGCAAGCCTTTCACCACTGTATTTGACAACTCTAACAAATTCCAGGAAAGGTACTTTATAAGGCTGTCACTTGAGAAGCATATGTTTGTGGTGATAGGAAGAAGTAAAAGGGACAAAGATCTCTAGCATGGATTTGTGTTAAAATAATATGTAGGTTACATACGGTTTTCTTTTAGAGCTTTCAAAGCTCATTTCAGAGATTGTAAGCTCTAGCAACATCTCTAGTAAAAGTTCAAGAACTTTGGAATAAAAATTTATAGATACTAATATCTAACTGGTATGAATTCAAAATACAGTTTTATAAGCTTTTGCATTATAGTGTTAGTAACATTTTATATTAATTAGATTGGCTTTCATGTACTCTTAGCTACTTGTATACTTTGGAATCTTTGAAATAATTTGGAAATCTTAATTGAATTTATTTATTTACTTATTTAATTTTATTTTTATTTAGTGTTCAGGACCTTCAATGGAGCCTACAATTCAAAATTCTGATATTGTATTTTCAGAGAATCTTAGCAGCCACTTTTATCGTATTCAGAAGTACGTCGCTCTAACTTTTCATAGTTTACTTGAACAAATATTTGTATGCTTTTTTGCTTAGGAACTTGTGGCTTCCTTCATCATTTTCCATATTAGCATTATTCATAAACTTTCAGATCTTCATTATGCATTAGGGAAATAAAAAGAGTAACATTTTATGATTGATGGAAACTTTCTCCACTATACTTCCTCAGTGCTTATTTAAAAGTTGTCTTACTTTGTAGTGGAGATTATCATTAGGAAGCAGCTATCACCAGAAATATAAATACTGTTTTATGTTATCCAAATACTATTTTATTAGTGGTTTCTGGAGTAATGAATGTGTGCATAATGCTGAACACTATTATAAAAGTTTCGGTTGCATGCATTAAGCCAAGCATTTACAATCAGATGCTTATTGCTATTGGACAATTCAAACATAGCTTGTGGTGAACAAGAAGACTTAGAAGTAGCCATGAAAATGAAATAGTTTTGTTTCCAGGTGTAAGCCTATGTCCTAGAAGTCATCTTAGGTTTGTTCAGGTTTTAGGTAAAAAGTTACTACTTCCCAAAGTCTCCATATGTGCATGGAATTATTACTGCCTATCAAAGAAAGGAAGGATACATTCTCTTATCTAGTCTTTTGGTTGGCAGGTGAAAATTTAACAGTTGAACAATTTTCTGATTGCTTTAGAAAATGGGAGGCAAGCATATCTTGAGGATTCCACAAATGCCATAAGGAACAGCGCATTGCAGTACTTGTTTCTAGATAAGATTAGAAGAGAGTCTGTAGGACTGAAGCAGCTACCTTCTCTCCTGTTCTCTAACACTGCAGCATTAGAGCTAAAAGCAAAATAATCTGAAGTGCCTGGAGGATGCGGGCTACATTAGAATAACTTTCTACCATATTTTGTACCTGATTTTGGGTGGATTATAAATTGTGTATTTTCACTGACAAATTGGTAGATGCTGACCTTTCCTTGTGGCCTTTCCGTAGAGGTGATATTGTCATTGCAAAAAACCCAGCCGACCCCAAAACAAATATTTGTAAAAGAGTAATGGGCCTGGAAGGAGAAAAAGTCTGTACAAGCAATCCCTCAGATTTCCTAAAGACCCACAGTTATGTAAGTATTTAATTTTGCTTTCAAATTATATTGCAATGTCTTGTAGCAACCTTTTTGTTTTCATGCCTTTAAATTAAATTTCACATTTCATCATAAAGGAATTTCCTGCATTTTTCTCCCTTTGCAAAGCTTCTTTTGAACCCCTTAGAAAAGAACTGAAATAAAATGCAAACAAAATGTAGTAGAAAGAAAAACATGAACAGAGGCAATGTTGCATGAGCAGTGTTTTGCACTAGTTATAGTCTTAATGACAATATGTGACATCTTAGTATGTTAAGAGTTCACTCTTTCTGTCCTGGTCTCTGAATATTGTACATGCTTAACTTTTAAATTTTCCAGTCTTCTGAGATATATAATGTCCATCTCTTTCAGTTATGGCCATCTTCTTACCCATTAGCTTATAACTTTTTAGAAAAGTGAATGGAATAGGTTCCTGACATGAAATAATAGGCTGAACAATGGATGGGAATTGGGATCATAGTAGCCTATCTAAAACCAATCAAGGAATTAGGCAGATTTAGTTATAGCCATTCTTTTGTGTACCAGAGACTACACAAAATCTTAAAGGTTCAACTGCGGGTAGCTTTTATTATTAATAGAATATTTATTGGACCGTTTCTAAATGTTGCTTTTTGGTAGTGGCTAGTGGGCACTGAACAGAACAACTTAGCACTTGGCTGATAATGGCTGGATTTAATACATAGAACCTTGTATAAAACATTATTTGAGTGGACAGGATGTTGAAGGAAAAAATGTGGAATACATGCCCATTGTGTTTATTTTATAAATAAATGTAATGCTGGGTGATATAACAAGAATCTGTTCTTTTAAATCTTGTTTTCGCCTCTTCCTTCCAATAATATAATCATTACTTTTTTCGTTACTAGTGGTGGACCCATCTTTATTGATTTTAATAGTTTCACCTGTCTAATAGACACTTGATGGTGAAGTTAGGTCCTAAGTCTTAGTGTGCTGCTTGTTCTTCTCACAGTTCTTCAATAAATATATGTTTGTTCAGTTTTTAATATATAATTTAATTTATATAAATTAAAACCAGTTTTTAAAACATCTTTTAGCCATAGGATTGAAAAGTATTTAATAGTGGAGAGAGATGTTAAAGCATACACCAAAAAGTTTAAACAGTTAATGTCATGATTTATTCTAAAACAAAATATATTTATATATTATATTCAGAATATCAAGGTTCAGACATTAAATAAAATAAATTTTGGAATAATTTCGTCATTATATTAGGTATACTGATCACAGTCTTTAGAGCAGTGTAAATCAAAAAACAAACATCACATTTTTATATCTGCCTGTGATTTAATAATATGTACATTGTGTTTTGTTTACCTTATATTCATTCAGTTCAGTTGCTATTTACAAACTGAAAAGGCAAGCAGGAAAATTGTAATAAACCAATTTATATATGTTAAAGTCCCTATATTGCTTGAACAGAAGAAAGACATAATGTCATTTACTGCAGGCAAGACCTATAACTAACGAACCTGCTTTTTGCAAATAGTGATTAAAAGCTGATATACAATTCCATTTCTCAGCAACATTTCACTGATGATCAATTACTGCACACTCTTAATGCCCTGGCTATAGCTGATGTAGAGAAAAATGTTTACTTTGTGCTGAAGTTAAATTCATTCTGGAGATGAGGTGCCCCATCATCCTGTGGCTATCTCTAAAGCTAACATAGTCTGAAAAGTCATAACAATTGTGTTATGTTTGAGAACAGGTCTTACTCAGCAGTTTGTTATATAGATTTAGATTAGCCTTTAATACTCAATACTCAGGGGTGTGAACAAATCATTACCTTTATTTCAATATTTCAGAAAATATTCCAATTTAAATTGGAGCTAAAGCAAAATTCAGAAATTTACATCTCTCATTAAGAATCTTATGAAAATCACAGTGCTTTCAATTTTTAAATAAAATGCTGTTAAGTCCTTTCTCTAGGAATAAAGCCCTCTAAATTTTAGGCAGATAGGTCCAGTGTGTGAGTGAAGAGAGAGCATTTAATTTTGGAGCGTCAACTAGTGTAGGGAAAGGAATGTATCTGCATCCTTCCCCTTACCTATGCCTTGTTAAGAATGAGTGAGTGAGCTCTTTAAAAAAAGGAGCTATATTGCCTCAAGGGGGTGGATTTTCAGCAGGAAAGTCGTGGGTATGTATATATGTGGACCCATGCAAAAGAACCTGGAGGGAGCAGCAGTGTTAGAAGCCAAAACCAGGAGCAGCTTCAGAAGCATGAGAACAGCCCAGAAATGCCAGCAGAATTCAAGATTGGACCACAGAGTGGCCTCGTCCAATGGAAAAGCACCTGAGCCAACCCCCAGCACTTTCCCATTGGGCAAAACTGCTTTGAGCCTTCCCCATTGGCTGGTGTTCTTATTTGTGCTATGCTACTGGGCCAGGCTGGGGAGCCATGTGTAGGAAGCATTCTCTGGAGAAGCTGGAGCACCAGGGGCAGCACGGCGACTGTGGGTCTGAAAAAGACCACAAAGGCAGCGAGGTTCTGCTTCAGCTGTGGTGGCTGAGTGCAAAAGACAAAAGGTCAGTGTGGGGAACTGGCAGAGAAGGCAGCTGGGCGAATGAATGCTTGCTGGCACTTGTTGGGGCTTCTCGGGCACTGTGGCTTGCTGGTACTTGCTGGGGCTTCCCAGGTGCTGTGGCTTGCTAAGGCTTTCTGGGGCTTCCTGGGCACTGGGGCTTGGCACCGCATTGCTAGGGTGGCTTCAGCTTCCCAGGACATGGCAAGCAGCCCCAGAGCCGTGCGGTTCTGCGGCTGCTTGTTGCCCCGAGGCAGGGTGCAGGGCCAAAAGGGCACAGATGGGGGTGAGATAGGTGAGGGGAGAGTTGGAGGCAGTCCCTTACCTTACTGAGGCTCGGGGCTGGGAGGGACCAAGCCCGGAATTGCTTGGAATTGGGTGGGTCCTTGGCTACCAACTGACGGAATTCGCTTAACAACTGCAACAGGGAATGCCGGGATTGCCATTGCTAAGCAATGTGGCCATGTGACATCTCACTTTATTTCCAGAGACTTTTAGTGAATAAGTGTTTATGCATTTCTATCTATCCATAGTGACTAAGCATGAATATGTACAATAATAAATCTAACTAACAGTATACCAACAAAAGTTAACCAGAGTATTTAAATTTTTACTCCTTCACTTCATAAGACAAATGTTGATCAGCTAGTTTCTACCTCCTCCCATGTTTACTTATTTCAGCACAGACTTAGAAATCCTAACAACTTCTCTCCTTAACACATTCTTGGCCAGTTATTTAGGACCTAAACCACACGGAGTCTGCTCTCTACTGTCCACAGTCCTGGACTGTGTTCTGGTTGGCTCTCTTTGCACGTTCCTTCTTTGGCTTTTGCTGCTTTGAGTTCCTTCCTGATTCTTCTCCCTGGCTGTGGATCATCTGGTCCTCATTCTCTCAGCTGTCAACTCCTCTGCTCCATGTCCGATTGCCTCTCACTCCAGCAGCATCTCCTGCCAAACAGAGAAGACCCCCCCCACCCCCTTCTGTCTACCTACTGTGGCTTCTTTTATAGTTCTTTCTTTTGAAACTTACAAGCCAGCTTGCAAGCGATTCTAAGGAGTTCAAACTTCTTTTTCTTTACTCTGGAACTGCCGACATGCCCAGGCTGTGCACCTGACAATCAGACCACCACAGAGAAAAAACTGACCTAGACAGTTTTTGCATGTAACATTTTCTTGTTTCAAGGCAGTTCATCCTGCCACAGTTGGGTGCTATGGGGGAAAAAAAATCAGCAGAGGAGAGGGCAGCTTTCCAGTCAGCTGAAATCATTGAGCAGATGAATTTGGAGTGTGGGTGGGCAGAGGAGAGTAAATCCATTAACAATTTCTAAAGTCAGAATTACAGGATAAAGAAAAACACAGAAGCAGAGGACTGAAAAATAGAAAACAAACTGTAACAGAGAGGAATAGTTCTAGTTTACAGTGTAAGTACTCAACAAAGCTAATATAAGATAATGGATACTGCATAAGAATATTAGATTAAGAGGAAAAATAAGACAAACTATTAAATGTAGAGTCAAGTTTATTTTATATCAATTTATTGTAATAAAGTACATTTTCCCAGTGGGCTTTTGTCCTGTCTGAATCTATACCAGAGTTTGAACCAAAACGCGGAGTAGTTAAAAATAAGTATGCTCACCATATTGTTTGGTTTCCCAGGGTGGGGTTGGGGGACACAGCCAGTATAATCTCCATGATAAGAAATGTGTTAAAATTTCAGGACAGGTTTCCTCAACTTGGATGTAGATGTATGGACTTCAACTCCTAAATTTCCCCAGTTTGCATGGTCATTGCTGAGAATTCTGAGAGCTAAAGCACAAATCTGGAGGGCATCTAGATTACAAAAGGTTGTGCTTGGCATTATCAATTTTGATTTAAAGGTGGGAAGGGAATCATAAGGAACTTACATTTCCTACCTCTAATTTATGATTATATGGGCAGTAACTGAAGCACAGCGTTCATCAGTCAGTAGTTTAGAATGGGAAGAGAAATACTTTAGCAGAGAGAGATTGAAATGAATAGGAATAGGAAGGATGTTATAAAGAAAGGAACCCAAATCTGATTAAATTTGCAGAGAAGCTAAGAATTTTTAAAATTAGACAACCCTTCGAAGATCTGGGGAAGGATGAGGGATAAGAACTGCTTTTCTCTACCTACGTATGTTGTAAGCGAGCGTTGTGAGTTTCAACCTGGCTGTTCTTTTAGCTCCAAAACTGAGCCAATACTTTATCCCTGCCTGCTAGTATAGAGCAGACATTGCTGTCCTACAGGCTGGGATTAAAAGGTCTATTAGGCACTTAACTCCTTGGTGGCTGGTCTTCAGGTACTAATATTTCCCCAACATGATTAATGCTGTCTGATTATGTTGGAAATTATATTTTATCGTCATGATTTCTAAATTCCTCTGTAATTATAAACCCCCCCCCCCCACTCCCGGAT